AGGATTTTTTCAGCAGAAACTTTACAGGTCAGAAGAAAGTGGCGTGATATATTCAAGTGCTGAAAGAAAAATAACCTACAACTAAGAATAATTTATCCAGCAAGGCTATCATTCAGAATAGGAAAGATAAAGAATTTCCCAGAAAAAAGCTAAAAGAATACATCACCACTAAACCAGCCTTATGATAAATGCTAAAGGGGACTCTGAATACAAAGAAAAGACTAGAAGGAGGAGTGAGAAAAGTAGGAAGCACAAAAACAGTAATATTAAATATATCTGTAAAAATAAGTCAAGGGATTCACAAAATAAAAGGATATGGAGTATGATATCATATACCTAAAATGGGGGAGGGAAAGGAGGAAAAATTTAGTATTTTAGAATGGGTTCAAACTTAAGCAACCATCAGCTTAATATATACTACTAAATGCAAAAGATATATATAATCACAAATCAAAAACAAGTAAGAAATAGGCTAAAGGTAAAGAGAAAGGAATCCAAGTATATCACAAAGGAAGCCAGTAACAAGAGAAAAGAACAAGAGAAGAATGGAACAGAGAACTATAAAAACAACCATAAAACAGGTAACAAAATAGTAATAAGTACATAACTACCTACTAGTTATTACTTTAAATGTAAATGGACTAAATTCTCCAAACAAAAGACATAAGGTAAGTGTCTGACTTCAGCTCAGGTCATGATCTCAGGATCCAGGGATATAGTCCTGCATCAGGCTCTGTGCTCACAAGGGAGTCTTCTTGTGCCTCTGCCCCTCACCCTGCTCATGCTTTCTTTCTCAAATAAATAAGTAAATAAAATATTTAAAACAAAACAAAAAAATATATACCTATCATGAGGAGAACTGAGTAATGTATAGAATTGTTGAATCACCATATTGTACACTTGAAACTAATGTATTACTCTATGTTAATTATACAGATTTTTTTTTTAAAGGAAAAGAATGTGTCCAACTATAATTCTAGATCTATTTCTCCTTCCAGTTCCTTTGTTTCATGTACTGTAAACTCTGGTTTTAGGTAGAAAATATTTGGGAATATTATGTCTTCTTGATGAATGGACTCTTTTATATCTTTATGTAATGTTCTTGGTTATATTTCTTAGATGGTTATCCTTGGTTATATTGGTTATATTAATCCTTGGTTATATTTCTTAGTTTGACACCTATTTTGTACAATGTTAATATAGTCATTGCAGCTTCTAATTAGCATTTACATATGTTGTATATTTTATCTTCTTTTGTTTTAAATAAACCTATGACTTATATAATTTTTAATGAAAATTTTGTCACAATTCTTATTTTTCTTCTTGGGTATGTCATATGTTGTTGTTGCTATTGTTGTTTTGCCTAGACCTGCCCCTTCACCAGTGTTCCTGATCACTAATAATCAGGAAAATGCTATTTAAAGCAACAGTGATATACCATTGCATACCTTCAAACTAACTAAAATTAACATAATTCATAAAAACCACTGTTGTGAGGATGTGGGTGAACAGGAGCTCTCATAAATTTCCAGTGATATAGGTATGTTGGAACATTGTTTGACATTGTCTGAAGTTGAGCATCACCATACCCTATCACAAAATAATTTCATAAATTTTAGGTATCAACATAAATACATGATTATGTCTACCATTGCTCATAACAAAATAATTTAAAATAGTTTAAAAATTAGAGGTAAAAGAAGTGTTCATCAATTTTAGTATATATAAACAATCTATATAATATATATACTATAAATAATTATAATACTACAAATATATATACAGAGAAGTTATGAACAAATTGCAAATACATGTAACTATATAGAGATGAATATGATAGTATAATTTATATTGAAAGCCACATATAAGAAAATACACAATATATACTAATATGAGTTTCAAACAGACAAAATTAATATATAATAGTTATAATAATAGTGGTCACTTTGGGGAGGGCATAAAGGTTAACAAATTGAATAGATCATAGGTTACTACTAATAATCTATTTGTAACTTAGATCATTGTTAAAACATTTGTTCATTTTACTGTATTTTATTATGCTGCTCACCTAAGATTTTAGTTACATTTAAAAATAATAAAAAATCAAAATTTTAGACATTTACACAATTTCATGATTAATTTTTACAATAATGATATAAACTACTATACTATACAAAATAGCTTAGATTATATTTATTTACTTATTTATTTTAAAAAGATTTTATTTATTTAAGAGAGAGAGAGAGAACATGAGCAGGGAGAGTGGCAGAGGGAGAGAGAAAAAGACAAGTAGACTCCCTGTTGATCAGGGAGCCTGATGTGGGGTTTAATCCCAGGACCCCGAGATCATGACCTGAGCTGAAGGGAGATGCTTAACCAACTGAGCCATCAGGCACCCCACTTAGACTGTATTTAAATTTTATATTTGGTATGGTATTTGTATATTGTATACATACATATATAACATGTATGGTATATGTATATTGTATATTGTTAGGTATATTAAACCTTTCAAGCAACACAGAGAGAAATAAATAATTTGACAATACATGGTCAAATTATAGATACAGATAAGTTAACAAATACACAAATCACATATGCGTATGCATACATACATAAATATGTGAATCTTTGAAACCATCATAAGCTTGAAGAATAAACCATCATAAGCTTGAAAAATCTATTTCAGTTATATAAATATATTTATTTTATGGAGAAAATTATATGCCATACTTTTAAATTGGTAATATATCATAAAATTTTAGGAAGTAGCTGTGAATATCAAGGACTGACTGCCCCTGTTTTATACTGTGTTATTTTAAGAAATAAATGAGTTAATATACACAAATTATTTTGTGACCTGTAAACCACTTAAAATATATATTTTATATATATATATGTATATATATATATACTTCTATATTTTTATTTCACAAAAATACAGTTTCTAAGTATAATATTGAATTTGAGGACATGCTTACTCAGCTGAATGACCTTTTAAAAAACAACAAAATGTTTTTTTTTTTAAGATTTTATTTATTTATTCGACAGACAGAGATCACAAGTAGGCAGAGAGGCAGGCAGAGAGAGGGAGAAGCAGGCTCCCTGCTGAGCAGAGAGCCTGATGCAGGACTCTATCCCAGGACCCTGAGATCATGACCTGAGCCGAAGGCAGAGGCTTAACCCACTGAGCCACCCAGGCGCCCAACAAAATGTTTTTATGTAATCACATTGCTGCTGAATAGACATTGGCAAAATCTTAGAACATAGAAAAATACAAACGAGGCTAATATATTTCTAATAATCCTCAAATAAAGTAAGGCTTTAGTATAATTTTGGCTTTATGGTAGGCAAAACTTGAAGAATGACCCCAACAGCCTTTCTTTTTGAGCATAGGTGGGACTCATGAATATGAAGAGATCGCATTCCCATGGTTATGCTAAGTTATGAGAAATAGGTGACCTTCAAATGGAGAACATCTACATAAGCCTAATCTAACCACTTGAGCTTTTTAGAAGAAAAAACTTTCCTTATCTGGTAGCAGTGGAGGAAGGCAGAAAAAGAACAAAGATGGGAAATATGAGAAGGACTTGAAACATCGCTGGTTTGAAGATGGAGGGTGTCATGTGAGAAGGAATGTTGGCAGCTTCTAGGAGCAAAAAGGAGCCTATAGTTGACAGTGACAACAAACACCACAACTGCAGCCATGAGGAACTGAATTCTGCCAACTGGAATGTTGCTTAGAAACAGATTCTTTTCCAGAGCCTCCAGGTAAAAAGAACAGTCAACAAACTGATTTCAGCCTATGAGATACTGAGCTAAGGAACCAAATGAACTTGCCTGAGATTTCTGAGCTACAAAATTATGAGATTATAAATGTGTTTTGTTTTATAACACCAAGTTTGTGGTAATTTGTCATATAGCAAAGAAAAATAATGCAAGTTTATTATAAAAAGATCATTAGCTCTTTGAGATCTTAATAGAATACACATACTTAAAATGACAATGAGAGATTAACTCAAGAAGTCACCGTGCAGAAGGCAAGCATGGCTGGCTGCCCAGTCATGATTTGGATCTTACTACATGCTGACAGAAGAAAGGCTTTGTGTACATATACTTTCATAAATGAGGTGTATATTATAAAATATTGAACAAAATATTGTGGATTTAGAAATCGTATGTTATTTGCTAAGACATCACTTTGCAAGAAAACATCAGCATTAATAGTGTTAAGTCAGTGGATAATGAAGCAATTAAATCAGAGAAACCTGAATTACTAAATCATCTTAAGGAAACCTCCTACCCAACCACTCTACAGCTTACTATGGTCTGAGACGTGAGATAAAAACTTTCACTGAGTTAAAACTGCTGAGATTTTTGTAGTTGATCTACAGGAGCTGAAGTTTAATGAAATTATTCCTTAAGGGAAAAAAATCAGCTGAAATTCCCAAAAGGAGCTAGATAATGACAATATTTTCAAATATTGCTGTATATAGTATTTCCATTCATCTGTTAGTGGGATGGAATGGTCGGTGTAGTAAAAATTATCTAACTCAGATCCATCAGTAAGTTGATAATTTTAATAAGCACTTAGTCTTCTTTAAAATTTTGTTATCTATGAGCAACTCATGTACTTAAGATGGGACAAGGTAAAAGGTAGTAAAGGTAAAACTCATGTACTTAAGATGGGAAAAGTTACGCAGAGGCTTTAACAGACACCTGAATATCAGATCACTGTTGATCTTCACAGATGCTTAGATCCATCTTTTTGTTATACCAGTCAATAAATTACATGAAAAATTCAAACAAGTTTTTTATCAAGATGTAAAACCAACTGTTATTTTTAAGCCACCATTTGTATTTTGTCAGTAATTACGAGTGAAAGAAAACACAAGTCTTAGACTGAATATTAGAGAACATAAAGTGATTCCTCCTGTTTTCCCCTTTAACTCCCAGTGCTCTTGGCCTCTTTATGATGTCACCTCTCAACATCATTAATTTGAACTTACAGGGCTTAAGTCCTGGCAAATCATAGGTGGGGGAAATGTCTGTACCAAGATTGTAAGTCCTCTTGTCAAATTTTATGTTTTTAAAATAACTGAAATGTTATAGTTAGCCCTGTATTTACCCTCTTTAGAGTAGAGATGCTTGTTATATTATTATTCATTGTAAACAAGAGTATGTGTTTAGCAGACACATACATTCTCAAGCCATAACAGAGGTTGTTTTGATATAAAAATTAACTAGTTCATTCATTTCAGTAAAATACAAACATAGTTTTGGATAAGGCTTTTTCAAAGTGATTCTTCATTCATTTTTAGCATACTGTATTTTCTAAAACACAGAAGAAAATAACTCATAGTTCTCATTCAGGGGAACTACCACTTCCTTAGAGGCCATTTGGAAACTTATGGATTTTTTTTTTTTTTAAATGTCACAGTGACTGAGGAGTCTACTGACCTTTAGAGAGTGTGGGTCAAGGGTGTTAAAACTTCGGTAATAATTTATTCTTGAGAAATACTGAGTTTTGAAAAGTACTTTGCAATGAAAAGTAGATTATCCAGACAAGGGAAGTTTGATGATAGTAGTTTCCTTATGCATGATTTTTTAAAAGATTTTATTTATTTGACAGAGAGAGATCACAAGTAGGCAGAGAGGCAAGCAGAGAGAGAGAGAGAGAGGAGGAAGCAGGCTCCCTGCCTAGCAGAGAGCCCGATGCGGGACTTGATCCCAGGACCCTGAGATCATGACCTGAGCTGAAGGCAGAGGCTTAACCCACTGAGCCACCCAGGCAGCCCTCCTTATGCATAATTTATGTTGTGTTGAAATGATGTAGGGAAAGAAGACCTTCAATTATTGTAAGCCTTTTTACTATGTAGGCTTAGAATAAAGGTGAAGGCATAGAAATGTGAAATAAAAAGGGAAAGTGTAACTGGTTTTCCCTTGGACAATACTTTTAAAGGAAAAATAAAACACAAACCTTCAAACTAAACAAAATGGCCTTTAATAGGCACTGGTGCTTACTTCATTACAATGCAATCAGTACTTTAATAGACAATCACCAGTGAAAGGATTCAATGCATTTGTAATGATTAAGGATTGAGGGACTTGCTGATAATTACAAAACAATCTGCACTCTGGCATATAGCCTGACAGAATTACATTGTATACTAATTACTTTAAAATGTTTAAGCACAATAAAATATTGATGACATTATTATTATCATGAGCACTGCACAGCTTTCAGAGAACTTCAAGAGTTAAAAACATATTTTTGGTTTTGTGACTATTTATGTTTTTTTCTGGTATAATTCTAAAACTCTCATTTTATCATAAAAAGAAACTATAGTTAAATTCATAATCAAATGGCCTCAGCATACATAAAAATCCTTAATAACAAATTCTCATATTTAACTGGATTCAAGTGGCCACTTCCAGTTCACTTAACAGAGAATCTGAGATGCAGAAATTATTTCCTACTTTGTTTTTCCTCTGAATGCTATGACAGGACCTTAATTTTAGACTTAAATTTCTATGTCATGGCTATCAATTTATGGTTGATAAAGAAAATATTCCTTCCCCCTCTTCACTTACTGTTCTTTAATACTCTTGTTCATCCAAATCTCAGCAACTCCATTTGAGTGCTTCACATTTTCTTGCCTTTTCCTCCTACTCAGGTTGTGTCAATCAACTCAATTCTTCCATTTCTAGTGGTGAATCTAAGTTTTCTGAAGGAAGTAGGAGAGGTTTTCACAAAGACTGGGTTATCTAAAAATCTAAATTTTTTAAACTGCCAGTGTTAGTTTCTGGATAATAGATTCACTGCACTTTTTTTTTCCTTGAGTTGCATTAATTAGGTCCTCTCTTATTATCTTGCCTAGGAATTCACCTTCATATAGAATAAAGTTTATGAACTTTAGCACTACTGACATTTTAGGAAGAATAACTCCTTACTGGTTTGAGGAATGGGGAGAGGGTAGGGAGGTCCTTGTAAGCAGTTAACAGCATCCCTGCCTTCTATACCCTAGATGCCACTATCAGCACGTGTGTGTGTACACCACCCCCACATCACCCCCAAAATACACACAATTGTGATAAAAATATCTCAGGCATTGCAAATGTCTACTGGAGTAAGGGATTCATAATAAACCCAGGCTGAGAAACACTGCTCTAGAAAATGCTAGAAAAAGACAGGAAATCTCACCATAAGGCAGTTGACCTTTGCCTTAAAAAAGAGACCCATAAGGCAATTGATCTTTGCCTTAAAAAAGAGACCTCTACAGCAAATATAAGAGTGACTCAGGCCCCAGTCAGTCCCTGGAAAATCTTCTGTAATATTTACTTATATTTCTGTAAGATATATTTATACATAAAGTACATAAGAATTTTATGGTCTTATTTGCCATATATCTGACGTAGAATCCCAAAATCCAAAATCAGCTGGCAGGATATCTTGTGATACTCACACATAATGATTGTCTGTAGCCATTTTACTATTAAAATCAAACTTAATTGTGGAATGTTGACTATCTTTCCTCTATAAACCAGAAACAAGGCAAAGATGCTCATAATTTCTATTTACCCTTGTAATCCAGACCATATTTTGTTCCATACAACAATAAAACATTAAGATTGGGGAGGAAGAAGTAAAATTACCTTTATTCACAGAGGACATGATTGACTGGATTATCCAGTGACATCTACAAAAAATTATTTAGAGCTATTAAATGTAATAAGATTATATGATACAGGATCTAATTATATAAATTATATTTCTATAAATGGAAAAATTAGAAATAATTAGAAAGGAAAAATTAGAAAATATAAGTTTAAGAAAATAGTACAAATTTCAATAACAAAAAAACTTTAGAAATAAGTTTATGAAAATATATGCAAGACATATATAAGAAAACTAAAAATTTTCCTCAGGGAATTTTTCAAGGAAAGTTTTTTTTTTTCTTTTCCTTCCTTAGATTTTATTTATTTATTTGACAGAGAGAGAGAGAAAACAAGCAGGAGAAGTGGGAGAAGGAGAAGTAGGTTCTCTGTTGAGCAGAGAGCCCGATGATGCCTCTGTGGGTCTCCATCTCAAGACCCCGGGGATCATGACCTGAGCTGAAGGCAGAGGCTTAACTGACTGAGCCATTCAGGTGCCCCATAGGAAAGTTTATATATATAAGTTTATACACATAACACATAACTTATATATAAACTTATATATATAAATATAGATAGATGGATATTTTCATTATATGTAATAAACATATGTCCTCCAATCCAAAGATATCCTTTACACCCTTTATACCTACTAGAACAACTGAAAGTAAAGATTAATCACACCAACAGTAGCAACAGTGTGGGGCATCTGACCAGTTCAGCATTGGTTGTGGGTATAACAGTACACCACTTTGGAATACCACTTGATATTTTTTAAAATAAAGTTGAACATACACATGTTATATGTATGATTCAGCCTTTCCACTATAGCTTACCCAAGAGAAGTTCACAAAAAGACTTGGACAAGATATGTATAGCAGCTTTATTCACAATAAGACAAAATTAAAGTAACTCAAATGTCCACCCACAGGAGGATGGAAAATTTCAGTGTGGGGTATATCATGTAATGGAATACTGTTCTGCAATCTAAAGGAATGAAATAGTCATAAATATAACATGGGTGAATAAAAAAATATATTGAAAAAATCCAGGAACACAAAAACACATACTGTATGATGTAATTTTTATGAATTTCAAGCATAGGCAAGGCTGTCTGTAGTTAACTTAACAGCCTTTTGTGGGGGAGGGGCAGCATGGATTGACTGGAAACTAGTACAATGTAACCTAATGGTGTGGTTGAAAATTTCTGTGTTTCTTAAGGTAGTTTAAATCAGGGTTACTGACAAATAAATTTAGTTCTCTTGAATTTTCACTGAAACGAGTTTATAGGACCCCAAAATAGCCATGATCTGAATACTCTAGTTCTCACTCCCTATGTAAATTTACATGTCATAAGTAATCCAATACATTTAACCTTAAGGAATAAATAGCATTTTGCCACTCTTTCACCTAAATCTGGTTCTGCTGGTGATAGCATCTCTCCCTTTACCTCTCCAGGATAGTCAAGAAATTTTCTAGATCAGGATACATTTAGATTCAATTTTTGAAGTTTCTCATTAAAAATAACAATAAAAACAAAAACAAAAATCACATTGTCAGCATCCTTTATTATTTGTTTTTCTTTTGAGACTATTGTCTAATTTAATTATCTGAAAAGAAAGGGGCGCCTGGGTGGCTCAGTGTTAAGCAGAGTTAAGCCTCTGCCTTCAGCTCAGGTCATGGTCTCAGGGTCCTGGGATCCAGCCCCACATCACATAGGGCTCTCTGCTCAGCAGGGAGCCTGCTTCCCCCTCTACCTCTGCCTCCCTCTCCGCCTACTTGTGATCTCTCTCTCTCTCTCTGTCAAATAAATGAATAAAATCTTTAAAATAAAAAAAAGGAAAAAAAATCTGCAACAAGTTAAAAAGGTTGTTTTGGTCTCTATTTCATTGATTTCTGTTCTGATCTTTATTATTTCTCTTCTCCTGCTGGATTTAGGCTTTCTTTTTGTTCTTTCCTCAGATCCTTTAGGTGTAGGTTTAGGTTGTGTATTTGAGACCTTTCTTGTTTCTTGAGAAAGGCTTGTATTGCTATATATTTTCCTCTCAGGACTGCATTTGCTGTGTCCCACAGATTTTGAACCATCGTGTTTTCATTATCATCTGTTTCCATGAATTTTTTCAGTTCTTCTTTAATTTCCTGGTTGACCCATTCATTCTTTAGAAGGATGCTCTTTAGCCTCCATGTATTTGGGTTCTTTCCAAATTTCCTCTTGTGATTGAGTTCTAGTTTCAGAGCATTGGGATCTGAAAATAAGCAGGGAATGATCCCAATCTTTTGGAATCAGTTGAGACCTGATATGTGATCCAGGATGTGATCTATTCTGGAGAATGTTCCATGTGCACTAGAGAAGAATGTGTATTCTGTTGCTTTTGGATGTAATGTTCTGAATATATCTGTAACAT